GCTGGGGGGAGACAGGGCTACAGACCGGGGGAGGGAATTAGAGCCAATTACAGCCGGGGGTCCGGCCGAGTGCCCAGATTTTGTCCTGCATCCAAATTAGACTAGTCCCCAGACTAAACTCTCCTGGCCCTTCTGGCCCTAGCACAGTTTCCTAGCCCCATGGCTAGGGGGTGGGGGACATCAGCAATGACCCTGCTTGCTGAGTATCCAGGCGTCCGTTCTGTCTTATTGTGAACTGCAAGGGAAATAATCCCTACAATATATTAATGACATGGGAATAAAGATCCAGGGCCTTTCCCCTACAAAGGGAGTGTGAACAGGTCCAGCCCTGGTGGGGCCTTTCCCTTCTAGGTCAGTGGTTCTCAGACTTTTTGCATTTGAGGACCACTAACAAATTTGACAACAAATTCATGGAGGTTAGGTCCATCAATGGCTATTAGCCAGGATGGGTAGGAATGGTGTCCCTCGTCTCTGCTTCTCCGGAGGTGGGTGACAGGAGAGGGGTCACAGGAGGATTACCTGTTGTGTTCCCTCCTTTTGGGGCATCTGGTATTGGCCACTGTTGGCAGACAGGATACTGGGCTAGATGGACCTTTGGTCTGACCCAGTACGGCCATTCGTATGTTCTTCTGACATGGAGGTACAGACTCTAGGAGAACATTGGTTGAAAATTGCTGATCTAAGCCACCAGTTAAAACACATGGAATAAGTAGGCCTTCTATCAGGGGCGGCCCAAGGTGGGCTGCAGCAGCTGGCGCCCTAGGCAGAACGTGTGATTGGTGCCCCTGCATGCATGGCTGTCAATGGCGTGACATCATCAGCGGGCACACTGGGCACCCCGTTGAAGGCAGCGCCCTAGGCGACGGCTGAGTCGGCCTATAGTCGTGGGCCACCCCTTCCAGCCATCAACACATATCTCATGCAGCAAGATCTGCATCACTGCCAACTAGTCTCACAAAGATGTTTATTTGTGGTAGCTCCTAAGAACCGCAGTCATGGACCAGGTCCTACTGTAAGAATCTAAGAGCTGCTATACTAGGTCAGACCATGCTCCATCTTGTCCAGTGTCCTTTCTCCAGCAGTGGCTCATACTGGAGCTTTCAGAGGTGGGGCAGCAGAGAACAAGCCAATTATAGAGTGATTCACCCCAGGCTTCAGTTGTCCATTAATTTAGTCAGGTGACCCCTATGTTTTGTATGATGTGAAAGGGTCACTTTTTCCATACCATTCATGAGTTTACAAACCTTAGTCTGTTTTCTAAGCTAAACAGCCCTAATCTTTTTAATCTCTCCTTGCATGAAGTTGTTCAGTAGCCTTGATCATCTTTGTTGCCTGTTGCTGAAACTTTTCCAGTTTCACATCTTTTTGGAGTGGGGTGGGATGACCAGACTTGGTATACAAGGTGTGGGTGCTTCATATATACATAATGGCATCATATTTTCTAATTGTCTATTCCTTTCCTAGTAGGTCCTAGTACACTATTAGCATTTTTGACTGCTGCTGCACATTGAGCAGAAGTTTTCAGATAACTATTAACGGTGTCTTCGAGATATCTTTCTTGGGTGGTAAGCTAGGTGAGCTTTCTTGTACTAGACACTACAAAAAAAAAAGAGAGATGTCTTTGCCCCAGAGGGCTACCTATTTAGTGTGGGACCCCAGTGCTGGTGTATTCAAGGTTTATAGGTTGAGGTGAGGTGAGAAATAGAGTCTATGAACATCCCACCCCAAATTTCCCTTGATAACCTCAAAAATGTTTACATGGAAAGAATTTTACAAATCACATTTACACATTGCTGTGTGAATTTTTCATAGATTTTAAAGCTAGGTGGCACCTTTTGTTCCTTTCAGTGCAGACCCTGAAAATTGATAACCTCCCACTTTGGATTATGGAGTCACTAGTCCATTTCACCCTTAGGGTCTCATGTCCCAGCTCAGCAATATTTGTTTGCAAATCCTTCAAGGCTAGGAATAGATTTTACTTTGCTTTGGTTTGAATTAAAAATGATTCCCACTGGAATGTTTAAAATTCCCAAGTCCTTTGAGTTGGTCTCAGGTTTTGTAAAAACCAATAAAATCTCAATGTTTAGAGCCAAATTTGACTTTACAGAACTATCTAAAATAAGAATGAACAAAATTCTAAACTGTTTTGTGTGGTCTCAGAGGGGTAGCCGTTAGTCTGTAACTTTAAAAACAACAAGCAGTACTGTGGCACCTTAGAGGCTAACAAATTTATTAGGTTGGTCTGCTCATTGTTTTGTACTGTGTGGCTGTGCACTGTTAAACATATGCTGTGTTCCGTCCCAGAAGAGGCTGCATTTCAGCCCAAGGTGGGGGATCCCTGTATAAATACTTGACGCAATCCCAGCCAACAGATGGCTGCATCTGAGCAATGGGTGAGAGATCCCTCTTTAAATAGCCCCTATGCCCCACCCCAGAGACAGCCATATTTCAGCACCAAGTGAGCAATCCCTGTACCACATTGCGGTTAATAATACCTAGCTCTTATATAGCACTTTTCATCTTCGGTTCTCAAAGCACTTTACAAAGGAGGTCAGTATCATTAGTTCTATTTTACAGATGGAAAACTGAGGTGCAGGAGGTAAGTGGCTTGCCCAACATTACCCAGCAGGCCAGTGACTGATTGAGAAATAGATAAACTCAAGAGTCCTGGCTTCCTGCCACCCCTGCACTATCCATTAGACCCCCACACCCTTTTCGGAGCTAGGAAGTCCTGACTTCAAGTCCGGGTTGCTCTAATCAGTAGTTACTTGCCTCCTGCCTATATGCTCTGGAGAAAAATTCACTAGCAAGCTTCTGTGACTTCTCCAAAGCTGGCTGTGGGGGAGGTAGGGCACTGAGCTTGTCTGCCATGTATTTTGAGGTTCTGCTTTGTATTTCCAACTCTGGGAGCAGAGTACGTTCTAATGCTCAGAGTAGCAGGGAACTGGGAATTTGGACTGTTAGGTTCATCGATTGCCTGTTCCTCCTCTCTGCTCCATGCCTTGTGCTCTGTGGGTGTCCCCGAGGTGAGGGGAAAAATGAGTGGAGGGTCACAGGGTGTGACTGCGTGTACATGTGCCGCTCAAATTCCCTGACCCCCAGCACGTTTCAGACGTGCCCCTGACTAATGGGAATGGGTGACTCAGAGGACCACAGCTGCGTCTGCAAGTGCAGAAGGAAGGTGCTGACTCAACAGCCTCTGGGGACGCACTCTGTCTGGGGGTGCTCCGAGTCAGGAGGCTGCTGCCCCGCCCCACAAAGCCACTGTGTGCCTGTTGACGGGGACTCGGTCTCTGGCCTGCTAGTCCTTAGTCCTCTCTGTTGAAGCGAGATGGTGAGGACATGGGAGAGTGCGAGTGAGGCCTTTTGGGTTCTCGTCCCGGCTCTAGAAGAAAGGCAGTAGGTAAAAGAGTGGGGCCTGGGAAGAACTTCTGAATTTCAATCTGCTGTGTAAGAGGAGTGGGACTAGTGGTTAGAGCTGGGAGTTAGGACTCCTGGGTTCTATTGCAAGCTGGGAGGGAATTGGGGTTTAACACAGGGATCCTCAAAGTCTTTGGCCTGTGGCCCATCTCACTCAATGCAAACTTTTCCACAGACCACCAGCCAACTACCCATGATGAATGGGTGCAGGAATGGGCTGGGCTGGGGCAAGGGGGCACTGGGCAGGAGGGAGGAAGTAGCAGTGGGCTGAAGGTGGAGGACGGGGGCAAGAGCAGGGTGAGGGTGGGGAGGTCTTTGCAGGAGGGAGGATGAAGAAGTGGGCTGAGGGTGCAAGGTCTCTGCAGGAGGGGTGTGTGTGAGGGGGACTGGTGTGCGGCGTCTGGGCATGAGGAAGATGCAGGGGCACTTACCTGGCTCCGTGCCCCCGGCTGCTCCCAGGCACTGCTCCTCTGCTTCCAGTGGCTGTGATTTTGGTAAATGGGAGCAGCAAGAAAAGCCTCCAGGAAAGTGGTTTCCTGGCTGCCATTTCCATGCCCCCAGCCAGGGGGAGGGGCAGCGGCAGCACATGGAGTCCTTTCCTCCCCTTTCTCCCATGAACTGGATCCATCCCATGCAGCGCAGGGTCGTCCCCCCCCAGCAGGAAGCCAGTGAGAGCCCCAAGCCCATGGCCCACCTGCAAGATGGTCGCAGTCCACTGCTGGTCCACAGACCACACTTTGGGAGCCATGGATCTAGTAGATTGGAGATGGGGGAGCTGGAAGCTGGGAGTCTTGGGTCCTGGAAGGAGCTGTTGTTAGACTTGGGGAGGGCCTGGGAGCAGGATCTGGGTTCTCTCCTCAGCTATGGGGGTGTGGTCTCCTGTGGTCAGCACGGGGTGTCCGGATTCCTGGGGGCTGTCCCTGGCTCTGGGAGAGCAGCGTGACTGCTTCCCCCAGAGCAGCTGGTCAGTGAAGAGAGTCAGTGGGGGAGTGCCCAGCCACTGGCCAGGCTGGGGCTCCCAGATGGGATAGGCCTGCCCTGCACGTAGCCTTATGCTAATGGATTAGCAGTGTCTGTAGCCTAGGGCACAACTCTGAGAGCAGTTGGCAGCTGTCCATGCTGCCGCCTCTGCAGGTTCCCAGGGGTTAGCAGCAGGGTTAACCCCAGAGCTGTCTGGGGCGGCAAGGGGGGGGCTATCTAGCATGGTGCAGTGGGATGGAGTGTCTGAGTTTAGAAGGCGATGGGGGCATGGGACCAGCCTCATCGTCCAACCTTTCAAGGGCTACACAAGATCAGTTGGTTGGGGGCTCCCCTGGTGGGGGACACAGCACACATGCGACTGCAGGGGAGCTGTAGCGACTAGAGTGGGGGAGCTGGGAGCCAAGTTCAGTTCCCCAGCTTGGGGCAGCGAGTGGGCATCCAGACTCCTGGGCTCTTTTGCTGGCTCTGGAGCAAAGCGTCTTAGTCTGGTGACTCAGTGAGGATTTGTACATAATCCTGGGTAATTTAATATTGGAACTTATGATATTTATTAACAGATCCCAGGAATACTGACTGCCAGCCCCTGCTCTAACCATTGAACCACGCTGCCTTTACACTCAGATCGCTCCATGTCATTCCTTCACATGGGTGTCTGTTTCCCATCTGTGGGCTCATGGCCCCACCTCTGTGAGTCTTTGTGCTGCAACCCACCTGCCTTGAGCTCTGCCTGGTTTTCTCTCTGCAGAGCCCTCCATGGCTGAGATTGTGATGAAGAAGGGGCTCCCCCTGGCTGGCCGGACCCTGGGAGAGATCCCCGTGTCCCCTCTTCACTTTGCATCAGCATCAAGAGGCCTCCAGAGGAACCTGGACAGTGTCAGGAGGGGAGTCAAGGTATAAATGGGGCAGGCCAAATTAGAATCAAGGCAATGTAGGGTCAGAAGGAGTCTTGAGGGGGCATCAAGGCCAGCCCTCTGTTCTGAGGTGGGGCCAAGAAAACCCAGAACATCCTTGACAGGTGTTTGCCCAACCACTTCTTACAGCCCTCCCATAGTGGGGACTCCACAGCATTCCCGGCAGCCTGTTCCAGAGCTTAGCTACCCTCAGGCTGTCTACACCACAGCTTTTGCCAGAAGAGGCAATGCAAATGATGTGCTGATTAGCATTTTGTCACACTTCATTTGCATAGTGTATTCCGAGCTGTTTTTGCGCAAGGGTTTTTGGCATAAAAACATGCAGTGTGGCTGTAGCCATTTTGTGCAAAACCCCCTTTTTGTGCAAGATCCCGGGGGAGGCAAAAGGATCTTGTGCAAAAAGGGGTTTTTGCACAAAACAGCCACGGTCACACAGCATGTTTTGTGCAAAAACTCCTTGCACAAAAATGGCTCGGAATAGATTATGCAAATGAAGCACGACAAAATGCAAATCAGTTCTTCATTTGCATTGCCTCTTCTGGCAAAAGCCATAGTGTAGACAAAGCCTTAGTCAGAAAGTTTTTCCTATTATCTGACCTAAATCTCCCTTGCTGCAGATTAAGCTGACTCCTTCGTGTCCTGCCGTCCTGCCTCCAGTGGGCAGGGAGAACACAGTCCTTTATGTATTTGAAGTCAATTCTCACATTCGATTCCCTGACAGAAGTGTGCGTAGTGGGAATGAGACAAAGGGCCTTTGCCCTCTAGGGGTCACCAGCTCCAATCTGGGCCCAAGGTGGGAGGACTGGATATTCCAAGGGAGCTAGGAATGGGGTCTGGGGCCTTTCTTTTTAGGGGACACTTGCTGATCTGGCTGCAGGGTTGGGGGATCCCCGCCCCCGGCCACAGAAGGGTGATGTTTCTCCCCTTTCCCAGACTTGCAGCCCGGACTGGACCATTGCGCCTGCTGTTGTCTCCAAATCCTTTGTCAGTCCCAGACCTGCTTGCCCAAAGCGTCGGTCTCCTGTGCTGGGGCAAGGGGCTGGCTCTCTGCTCTGGACATCACAGCTGGACCGTTACCTGCCCCTCTCTCTTGTCTGCTCCATGGGCCCCTGGCGCTGGTACCATCAGAACTCTCCTGCAGTGCACAGGCTGACAGCTGAAGACATGCAAAAGGCCAGAGATGCCAAGGTGTCTCCTGCCCAGCCCTACAGACATATGGTAAGGGGTGGGAGTGGGGGATCTGCCAATTAAGGTTCCTGGTTCTCTGTTCAGGGAGGGAAGATGTGTAGTGGTTAGAGCAGGGTTCCATGACTCCTGGGTTCTAGCCCCATCTGTGGGAGGTGAGTGGGGTCCAATGAGTTAGAGCAAGGGGCCTGGAGACAGGACGTCTGGGTTTTATTTCTGTCTGTGATCAAGCAGTGAGTTGGAGTTGTTCTGTGGGTCTGGGCTAACCAGACCCTGGCTCTCTGCTGCCATGAGGTGAGAGGGGGGCTGTCTGGGAGAGTCACTCCCACTCTGCTTTACAGCTCAGTGACAAATCCTGTGAGCGGAAGGTCCCCACGACTCGGCTCGGCAGGCTGGCTAACTTTGGGGGTAAGTAGCATCCAGCACATGCTATGATAAGGGGACGGGGCATGCAGCACTTCCCCTCTAGCGGGTCCCAGCTTCAGTTTTCACTGTCAGAGGGGTCCACGGTTGAACGGGTCACACAGGCGGAGTGGTGGCAGATGGGTCCCTGTGGGGTCAGGAGAGGCAGGTCAGCAGGGGGCGCTCTCTGTGTGCATGGCAATAGCCTGCTGCAACTGGTTGGGATGGACACAGGACAGCAGGAAGGTCCAGGAAGGAAGATGTTCCCAGGGCCACTCCAGCATTTCCATGGGGTTCATGGGATGACTCAGATGCTTTGTGGGGTGGGTGGCTCTGGAGGTTGGGGGGAGCTTGATGCTCCCCTTCCCCTGTGAAGCAGGGGGGTAGGGCAGGCTGTCCTGGTGCATTATCCTACGCTTTGTCCCCTAGGCTTAGCTGTGAGTGTTGGGATCGGGATCCTGGTGGAAGCTGCTAAGAAATCCTTGTGGGCAGAAAGGGCTGTGAAAGGTGAGTGAAGGACACTCGAGGCGGCCCACTCACATTCTTGCACAGGCACAATGGGAATCAATCACCCTCGCACACTGACGGTCAGGTATAGACACAATTGGAATCCTCCTCGCACGCTCATTCACATGCACACACACGTACTCTTGTGCACACACTTTGACACTAGCTCACTCCAACCATAGCAGTGATGAAAGCTGACCGACGGTCAGGGGCTCAATGCATGGGCCCTATGCCTGGGCGTGTGCACACTTGGAATCTTACTCCCTGGCTCACATACGCAGTGGGCACACTTGGAATCACACCCACTCCGAGTCTCAGGGTATGTCTACACTACCCCGCTAGTTCGAACTAGCGGGGTAATGTATGCATACCGAACTTGCTAATGAAGCCCGGGATTTGAATTTCCCGGGCTTCATTAGCATAAAGCTGGCACAGGCTCTGTACCCCAGGGGAGCAAGATGTACAGATAGTTCGGAATGGCTTGCTAGTTCGAACTATCTAGCCCATGCCACGTGTAGCCGTGCGGCACGGGGTTCGCACTAGCCGGCTTTTAAAAATGGCGCCGGCCGGCTTTATGCTAATGAAGCCCGGGAAATTCAAATCCCGGGCTTCATTAGCAAGTTCGGTATGATACATTACCCCGCTAGTTCGAACTAGCGGGGTAGTGTAGACATACCCTCACATTCCCTGGCTCACTAAAAGTCTTGCACTATTGGACACCCACTTCCACGGTGCAGAAGCTGTGTGGAGACCCTGCCCTGTGTGTGAGAGACAGGAGGGGGACACATCTTTCCTGTGACCTCATTGTCTTCTGTGGAGATTGGGGGGAGAAAAGCAGGTCTCAGCCCAAGAGCCTGAGCTTGTGGCTTGGCCTGGAGGCAGGGCAGCAGCTGGGCCAAAAGGCTGGTGTGATTCTAGTACCGAGGTTGGGATCAGAGGGGAGCGGATTTGGATGTGGCAGCCAGGCAGGGCAGGGCCCCCTGCCTGTGGGACTTTCCCAGTGTGTGGGGGGAAGAAAGGAGGGGGGGCAGAAGGGGGAAGGACAATGCTAGCACTGGCTGGGTCATTGGCATTTTGGAAAGGATTCACTGGGAGGAGAACAAATCATTTTGTTTGGCTTCAGGGCCTCTGGACAGGAATTGTCACTTCTGATGGAAGGAGGCATTGGGTCAAAAAGTCACTTCAAGGTGCAAAATGGCAACACTGTGTATCCCAAAAATCTCAGCAGCCCCTGTGATTGCTCCTGAATTGCGCTGAAAGATTTAAACATGTTTTAAAGTGAAGAAATTGGCAAAATCCCACAGAACTTTGTGAGAGGCCGGGGTAGAGTTGCCATTGGCCAGTGAAGAAACAGTTGGGGTAAAAAGTCACCCAGCTCCAGTGTGCCACACATAGACCCCTGCAGAGGGTCCTTGGCTGCCGGATCTGTGAGGCTGTGGTTGCCAGGAGTTCTGTGCTGGGAGTGGGGTGGCTCCCCATAGGTTATAGGGGGCTAGCTCTGTCTTGACCACTCCTTTGTTTCTCCTCCACCCCCAGGCGATCTGTCACCCTCGAGCACACGTGCTCTCCTGTCTGAGGCCAATGCAGAGCGGATTGTCCGGACCCTGTGCAAGGTGCGGGGTGCGGCTCTGAAACTCGGCCAGATGCTGAGCATCCAAGGTGAGGAGACAGAAGGATGGGGCGGGGGGCAGCCAATATCCCCAAATCCAGGGTGAGATCATTCCCTACAGTCTATTTGCCCAGGCTCCCTGACACTGAAATCTACTGCCACCCCCCAGGTGCAGGGCTTACTGTGGCCACAGTTCCCCAGCCAGCCTCCCCCCTTTGCTGTGCCCAGTGTCACCCCACTACTCCTTCCTGCAGCATGGCAGCATAAGGAGTGGGATCCCCCACGTCACATCCCCCATACACAGTCTCTGACACTTCCCCCTACTTTGTACCCTCAGATGATGCCCTCATTAACCCTGCGCTCCAGAAGATCTTTGAGAGGGTCAGACACAGCGCTGACTTCATGCCCACTAAGCAAATGATGGTGAGTGAGGGGGAGGGGGCAGACTCAGAAGACGGAGGACTGGAGGGCATGGGAAGGTGGGGGGCGAAGCCAGAGCTGTGGGAGTGCAAGGGTAGGGGTGATTGGCCCTGACCCCCCTGTTCTCCCCTCTCCATGCAGGGTGTGCTGAACAGTGAGCTGGGCCCAGACTGGCACAGGCGACTGGCCTGGTTCGAGGAGCGCCCTTTCGCTGCTGCTTCCATTGGACAGGTGCATCTAGCACAGCTGCTGGATGGGCGCAATGTGGCCATGAAGATCCAGGTAACAGTAGGGCTGAGGCAAACCCAGATCCCCATGGCAACCTCCATCTTGGCAGGCAAACCCACACTCCCAGTAAGCTGGGTGACGGCCATGTTGGAGGCCAGTTCCCTTGAGCACTGTAGCCATGTATAGAGGTTGGTTCTCCTGAGGTGCTGGTGTCCATGTTGGAGGCTGGTCCCTCTGGGACACAGGTAGCCATATTGGAAGTTAGTTCTCAAGGGCATCAGGCAGTGTGGGTGGCCACATTGGTCTCACACTGTCATGTCAAGCTGCAGCCATGTTGAAGGCCACACACTGGGATGCCAAGCAGCAGCTATTGCGGCTATGTGCCCTTGCGCTGTCATCGTGGAAAGCAAGTCCAGATGCCCTCTTCTGAAGAGATGGCTATGCTGGCAATTGCTAATGCATCCCCTGGGGAGCCCTGATTTCACCCCATCCAATTGGCTACCATGTCCCAGCCTATACCTCCATGTAGATCCTGATACATCATCTCCATGGCTAGTGCCTATTTTCCCAAGGGGATTATGGGAAAGGTCTTCGCATCTGTGTGACTGGACTGAAGGAACTTCTCACACTCGCTTGCCAGTGGCTGCATTTAACTTCCCATCCTGGCTCCTTTGAGGACCTCGATGCTCCCCATGTGCTCTCTTTTGGTCTGCATGGGCAGGGCCCAGCTGATCTAACCCCATTTGCCTCTCCCCCAGTACCCAGGCATTGCCCAGAGCATCGACAGTGATGTCCGGAACCTCGTCTCCCTGCTGAGTCTGAGCAAAGCGCTGCCTGAAGGTACCAGGTCCCAATCCCACAGTCCCCCCCTCCCCTAGATGCTCCCACGCCTCTCCTGCTCCTGGTCACATGAGAGCCCAAGTCCTTCCTTCCCCCAAAAGTCAGTGCCCCGGTGTGGGGGGAAGGTGTCGGGGGCCAAGCTTGCTGGGTTCCATCCCAGCTCTGGGAGGGGAGTGGGTTCTAGTGGGTTAGAGCAGCAAGGGCTGGGAGTTAGGGCAGTAGGAGCTGGGAATCAGATCTCCTGGGCAAGTGCCCATCCTGCTGGGTGCCTCAGTTTCCCTCTGGCTTCCATCCCTCAGACTCTGGAAGGAGATCATGACAGAGGGTGAGACTCACTCCGAGCTCTCAGGTACTGGGGTGAGCTGGGCACTGGTGCTGAGGTCCCTTCCTTGCCCCTTTCCCCACAGGCCTTTTCCCTGAACATGCCATTGAGGTGATGAGCCGTGAGCTGGCCCTGGAGTGCGACTACAAGCGGGAGGCTGCCTGTGCCACGAGGTTTCAGTGAGTGCCCATGTCAATGTCACATCCGCACTGGCACAGTCGCCCAGGAGATGGCTCTGTCAGCCATTCTGGCCTAGTCACCTGCAGGCTGGTGTTATCAGCCACACTGGCACAATCACCTGGTGGGGTGGTACGGCTGGTCACTCTGGCATATGTGCCCGGGAGATGGTACACATTGGCCCAACCACTTGGTAAAGGGATGGTACAGATGGCCTCTCTGCAACTGCCTTAGGGCAGCCGGGGGGACCTAAGACCCAGGGGCTGGATGCAGCCCCTGGGTTGCATGGATCTGGCCCCTGAGGCCCAGGGCCTCCCTAGCACTGAGGAGCCCATGCTGGCACTCCAGTCCCCCCGATGCCTCTCCATAGGCCCTGACTCCCAACTGATTTTTCTGTGGGTCAGCAGCCCCCAATCCAAAAAAGGTTCCCCACTTCTGCCTTGGGGAATGGTACAGGCAACCACTCAGGCACAGTCCCCCAGTGTGTGTGTTGCGGGGGAGGGTGGTACTGTGCCCACACTGATACAGAATCTCCTGCTACGCTCCCCCCACAGGCAGCTGTTGCAGGATGACCCAGTGTTCTACGTGCCGTCGGTGATTGGTGAGCTGAGCACCCAGCAGGTGCTGACTATGGAGTTGGTGCCTGGCTTCCCCCTCGACCAGGCCCAGGGGCTGGACCAGGAGACACGCAACCGGGTAACAGGGGAGGGGAGGAGGAGGAGACACTCATGTGTAAAAGGGATCCCAGCACCGGGACACATTCCTAGTCTCCCTGTCTTTCACTCCCAGTCGGGGTTCCCCCATTGGTCGCACTCTGCTCAGGCCTGACTCAGGATCCAGCGCTGGAGACCATGCTCCATGCCCGACCCTTTTCACCTTAACTCTAAGATGTGGAGCCGGAGCTGCTGCTGTCAGAAGGGGGCAGTTCCCAGCCTAATCCCAGCAGGACAGGGGCCTGTCCTGGGATGGGGTGTAGCACTGGGCTCTCTCTCACTCCCACAGATCTGCTTCAGTATCCTGGACCTGTGCGTGCGGGAGCTCTTCCACTTCCGCTACATGCAGACCGACCCCAACTGGTCCAACTTCTTCTATGATCCACACAGCGGCAAGGTACGGACGCCCTGTTGCCTCCTATGTCAGAGCCAGCGAGCAACTGTTTCCCTGAATTGGGGAAGCTCTACAGCCCCATCCCATGTCAGTCAGCCAGCATGGCCCCTTCCCTGATTGAAGGAACCCCCTACTGCCCTCATATTGCTGCCACATTCTCCTCACTAGCATGGGTGGGAAACCCATCACTCCACACATCCGTCCCCTCCCCATTGCACCTCTGTCTTTCTAGGATCATCACTGCATCTACATGGGCATCCTTCAACACGTGGGGGAGAGGAACATAGGACAGGCCCAAAGCAGCACACCAGGGGACAGGAGAGGCATGGGGGTGGGCTGGGGGCATTGGGAGCCATGCTCCCTCTCCATTATTGGGGGATTCCCCCCCCCCTGCATCCTGGCTCCCTTGTATAGGCAGTGATCTCTCCTAGCCAACATGTCCCCCCACTCAAAACCCCTGCCTCCTATTCCAACAATGCCTGAATGGCTGAGGCCCACCCTGCAAGGGCAGAGTTTCAAGAGAGTGGGGGAGGCGGGGGCAGTAGCCAGATGCCCCGGGACGTGGCTTGCCTTTCTTCCCGGTCCCCTGATGGTAAGGGAGCGAGCGGAAAGTACTTGGATTCTGTGCATGCCTCCCATGCCTGGTACTTTCCCCTCGCTCCCTTATCCACAGGGGAAGGGGAAGAAAAGCAAGTCCCATCCCAGTGCGCACAGCTAGTGCCCTGCCCCCGCTCTCTCAAAACTCCACCCTTGCCACCCTGCATGGCTGATTCCACCACTCCCTCCCTCCCTCCCATCAGATCCCTCTCCCCCAGCTGCACCCCTCACCGTGAACCCCATAGCCAGGCCCTACTACCCTGTCATGTGCCTACACCATGTAGTCTAATCCAACCATGTGGGAGATTTATTGTCTGGAGTCTCAGTGCCCACCTGCCCCTCAAATGTAATGCACCCCACAGTACTATTCCTAGTGCTAAGTTTGGGAAGCTCACATACTCCCCCTGACCATGGACAGCTGCACTCCCCTCCTCCAATAGTGTCACTCAGTTGAGGTGAAAGGAAGAGGAAGTTACTCACCTTGTGTAGTAACGATGGTTCTTCGAGATGTGCCCCATGGGTACTCCACTCTAGGTGACGGGTCCGTCCCGGCGCCACTGATCGGGAGATTTCATAGCCATATCGGGCCGGACCGCGCATGCTCCCTGCGCCTGCTGGTCATTTGCACCCTTGCTAATGTGTGCGGTTCGGCCCCCCCTCCAGTTCCTCTCACTGTCTGGTTTCTGAAACGAGAAAGAGAGAGAAAAAACCCCGGAGCGGGGAGGAGGGCGGGACGTGGAGCACCCACGGGGCCCATCTCGAAGAACCATCGTTACTACACAAGGTGAGTAACCTCTTGTTCTTCGAGTGGCCCCGTGTGTGCTCCACTCCAGGTGACTATAGAAGTAGTTGGAACAAGGAGCGCTCCGGATCAATGAGGTTTTACTGCGGAAAGGACTGCAGAAGCGACTGCATGGTCCGCTGCACATTTTTGCACTATAGCGTAATGTCTCATAAATGTAGAGCTGGAAGCCCATGTGGCTGCCCTGCAAATGTCTGCTAATGGAACTCCTCTGGCGAAGGCAGTAGATGTCGCCACTGCCCCTGGTTGAGTGCGCTCGTGGCTGAGAAGACAAGGGTCTACCCTGAATGGAATGGCATGTGGTAATGCAAAGGTGATAAGCTTGGTAATGTGCTGAGTGGAGAGTGCAGCTCCCTTAGATCGGTGAGCCGTTGATATCAAGAGTCTATCTGTTTGTCTCCACTGTCAGGTTCTGTATGTAAAAGGAAAGAGCACGCCTTACATCCAGCGTATGCAGCAGGGCCTCCTTCGTTGAGGCATGTGGCTTAGGGTAAAAGGAAGGCAGGATGATTGGTTCATTGATATGAAATGACGAAGAGACCTTGGGTATGAACGCTAGGTGCAATCGTAAAGTCACCGACTCCTTTGAGAAAGAAGTAAAAGGAGGATTTGCCATTATCGCCCCTAGCTCACTAACTCTATGTGCTGATGTAACTGCAAGCAAGAAGATGGTCTTCATGGTTAACATCTGTAAGGGTACAGATGCTAGAGGCTCGAATAGAGGATACATAATTGTGTCAAGTACCAGGTCGAGGTCCCACGACAGCAGAGGTGGCCTTCGAGGTGGGCTTATATTAATCATGCCTTTGAGGAAACGTCTAGTCGTCGGGTGAGAGAACACTGAAGAACCCTGTATTGGGTAATGGAAGGCACTGATGGCTGCCAAGTGAACTCTGAGGGATGCTAGAGAAAGTTTCAAGTTTCGCAAGTGAAGAATGTATTTGAGAATTTGGTGTAGAGGAGAAGACAATGGTTGAACGTTATTCTGGAGGCACCAGTCGTAGTATCTGCGCCATTTAGCTAGGTAAGTATTTCGCATAGATGTCTTTCTACTATGTATCAATATGGACCTGACCTGATCTGATCTGAACAAAGCTTTTCATCTAGTCTAAGCCAGTCAGGAACCACGCCGTCAAATGCAATGTTTCTAGTTTGGGATGAAGGAGAGATCCCTGGTCTTGAGAGAGGAGATCTCGGTACAAGGGCAGAGGCCATGGTGGTTGCAGCGACATTTTGTGTAAGAACGTATACTATGCTTGCCTTGGCCAAGCTGGTGCTATTAAAATTACCGTCACCCTCTCCGTCCTGATTTTCTGTAATGTTCTGGGAATGAGGACTGTTGGCGGAGAAGCGAACAGGAGCAATTTTTTTCAATTTATAGGAGTGCATCGCCGAGAGATACTTTGCCGATTCCTGCTCTGGAGCAAAAAAGGCAACACTTTTTGTTGACGGATGTTGCAAAAAGATCTACCGGGGGCATTCCCCATCTGCGGAAGATCTTCTGAAGTACATCCTGCCTCACCTCCCATTCGTGGTCTGTGGGGAAGCGTCTGCTGAGGGAATCGGCAATGACATTGGCTATGCCAGGTAAGTACGACGCTGTTATGATTATGTTGTTCTGTCTGCACCAATTCCAGTACCGTACTGCTTCGGCGCATAGGGAGCGTGAACTTGCTCCTCCCTGTCTGTTTATATAATACATTGCTGCTACGTTGTCTGTCAATACCCTGACTTTTTTGCCTCTCAGACTGGGGAGGAAGTGTTTGCATGCTAGAAAGATCGCTCGTAACTCTAGTTGGTTGATGTGAAGGCATCTTTCGGCGTGAGACCATCATCCCTGGATACGCTCCTCACCCATGTGAGCACCCCACCCAATGAGAGAAGCATCCGATGTTAACTGAACCGATGGCTGAGCTTGGTGAAACGGTACTCCCATAAGGATGTTTGATGGGTTCATCCACCATCGGCGGGAGCTGTGCATGTGGGATGGAGGAGTAACTAACTTGTGTATGTCGTGTCTTGTGGGGACATATACCGTTGACAGCCAGTGCTGTAGATTCCGTAGATGGAGACGTGCTTGCGGGACGACGAAGGTGGCTGCAGCCATGTGGCCAAGCAGGCGTAGGCAAGTATGCGCTGAGACTGTTGCAGTTTTGTAGAGAAGATTGACCAGATCTTTTATTGCCTGGAATCTGTCCCCCGGCACATACACTCTCGCCGCACGAGAAATGAGAACTGCTCCTATGAACTTTATGTTCTGTGTTGGAACTAACGTGGACTTTTGCTCGTTTACTATCGGCCCCAGTGAGTTGAAAGTGTCTCTGACTATTGAAAGCATCTGTGTCGTCTCCTGTCGTGATGTTCCCTTTATGAGACAGTCATCTAGATAAGGGAATATGATGACTCCGAGGCGATGAAGGTGGGCGGTGACTACAGCGAGGGTCTTTGAGAAAACTCTTGGAGCCGAAGCCAACCCAAACGGAAGGACGCAATACTGAAAATGCTCGTTGCTTATAACAAATCGCAGGAATCGCGTGTGCACAGGGTGTATGGCTATGTGAAAACAGGCATCCTGGAGGTCGAGGGCCGCGAACCAGTCATTGGTGTCCAGAGAAGGAATGATCGTAGTCAGAGTCACCATTTTGAATTGCTGCTTCCACAGATAATGGTTTAACCCTTGTAGATCGAGTATGGGTCTCCAACCCCGATTTCTTTTGAGTTAGGAAGTATCTCGAATAGAACCCTTTTCCCCTGAAGAAGTCCGGGACCCTTTCTATCGCTCCAATTCGTAACAGGTGATAGGCCTCCTGTTGTAAGAGGGCCTTGTGAGAAGGGTCCCTGAAAAGGGACAGGGTGGGAGGGGTGGAGGGGGGAAAGGGATGTGAATGGGATGGTGAGTCCGGATTTTATCATTTCCAGGACCCATCTGTCCAATGATATGGCAACCCACTGATGGTAGTAGGGTCGCAGCCAATGTTGAAAAATGGGGTTGGTGTCTCTGACTAGAACAGGAATGTTTGGCGTGCCCTCGACCTGGGAGTCAAACCTGCTGTTTGGGTATCATTGCGTTATTCGCCTTAGATGACTGAGGGCGTCTGTGCTGTGTCCTCTGCTTGGACCGGTTTGGCTCATATGGACTGTTTTGCTGTCTACAAAACTAGTACTCATAACATCTTTGGAATGGGAAATAACACTGTGGAAAAGTGGAATGTACATCCTGAGTGTACGTAAGGTGACTTGGGAATCTTTACCCGTGTGGAGCACCTCGTCCGTTTTCTCCGCAAACAACTTAATCCTGTTGAATGGAAGATCCTCGACCTTGGATTGTAACTCTTTCGGTACAGCAGCGGTCACAAGCCATGAAGCTCTTCTCATGGAAACTGCTGTTGCAATTGTTCGAGCCGCTGTGTCTGCCACATCCATGGCAATTTGCAAACCCGCTCTGGCACATGCATATCCCTTCTGTAGTATAGAACGGAGGAGTATTTTGTCGGTTTCGGAAATTCTCTGAGCAATTTCTGATAACTTTGAGATGTTGTCAAAACTATGATTAGAAAGTAAGGCTGCGTAATTTGCGATACGGAGGAGAAGTGTTGAGGAGGAGTACACTTTTCTTCTGAATATGTCCAGTCTCTTTGCATCTTTGTCTGCTGCTGAATTCCTCACTTGCGGGTTTTTTGCCCTCTGCAAAGCTGCATCCACCACTAGCGAGTTTGGTTGAGGATGAGTAAAAGGGAACTCAGCGCCCTTTGAAGATATAAAATATCTTTTCTCTGCTCGCTTACATGATGGAGTAGTGGAAGCCGGCATATTCCAAATTTCTGTGGCTGGCTCCAGGATCGCCTCGTCTAGCAGAGCGGTAGAGCCACCTTAGATTGTTGTCTGGGATGCAAGTTCTTTAGTAACATACAGTGTTTTGCTTGCACCTCCACTAACTGAACCTCCTATGATTGTGCCACTCTCTTGAAGAGGTTCTGAAACTCTCAGGTATCATCTGGTGGTGAGGTGTCCATTGCAAAAACTGCGTCATCGGGAGAAGACGACTGGGCATCCTGCGGGGAAGCTTGTGGCATCCACTCATTCGTGTCTGAGTTTTGACCCTCTTCAGGTTCTGACAGGACGGGGGGGAGGGGGGGGCAGTAGCCAGATGCCCCGGGACGTGGCTTGCCTTTCTTCCCGGTCCCCTGATGGTAAGGGAGCGAGCGGAAAGTACTTGGATTCTGTGCATGCCTCCCATGCCTGGTACTTTCCCCTCGCTCCCTTATCCACAGGGGAAGGGGAAGAAAAGCAAGTCCCATCCCAGTGCGCACAGCTAGTGCCCTGCCCCCGCTCTCTCAAAACTCCACCCTTGCCACCCTGCATGGCTGATTCCACCACTCCCTCCCTCCCTCCCATCAGATCCCCCTCCCCCAGCTGCACCCCTCACCGTGAACCCCATAGCCAGGCCTTCCTACCCTGTCATGTGCCTACACCATGTAGTCTAATCCAACCATGTGGGAGATTTATTGTCTGGAGGCTCAGTGCCCACCTGCCCCTCAAATGTAATGCACCCCCAGTACTATTCCTAGAGCTAAGCTTGGGAAGCTCACATGCTCCCCCGACCGTGGGCAGCCACACTCCCCTTCTCCAATAGTGTCACTCAGTTGGGGTGAAAGGAACTTAAATTTCTTACAGGTACTGTCCTATCGCAACTCAGGTCCCTATCAGCTTTTTCAATAGCTCCCTGATGGCTTTTGCCACAGCTCAGCCAGTTCTTGCTGGAGCTGCGCACTGAGATGCACCCGTTTACTTTCACCTCTGGGATCCAGGCAGCCTGATTCCTATTCCCACGAGCACTAACTGTGGTTTGTGGGGGAGGGGGAACTGACCCTCCAATGCCCCCCACTTCCCATCCCAGACCTGGGTTTCCCAGCTGATTCTAACTGGCTCTTTTCTCTGCTGGACACCAGGTGGCGCTGCTGGATTTCGGAGCCACTCGCAGCTTTGACAAGACCTTTACAGATCAGTACATTGAGGTGAGACTGTCGCTGCCCTGGGCTTTCTCCAGCAGGGGTCACTGTAGGGAGCAGGGCAAGAATTCTGTCGGAGGAGAGGGACCCCGGTTATTCCAGCCCTGGCTTCTCCCAGCAGGAGGCACTGAAGGGAGTGGGACAGAAGGATTTTGAGCCCTGTGCTTATCTTACATGGTCTCTGGGCCACTTTGATTCCAGATCATTCAGGCTGCGGCTGAAGGTGACCGGGCTGGGGTGCTGCAGGGATCCATTGCACTTCGGTTTCTCACTGGCTATGAGACTCAGGTGAGATACTTGGATCTCTCCCTGGCCACAGCATGGGGGCTGGGGGGTTAGTGTCCAAGTGTTAGAGGGCAGAACCTTGTTCCCCCAGCCGTCTCCATGCCTCCAATCTCTGCTCAACTTCCCCAGCTCTCCCAGCCTGTTCCCTGAACCCACCCTTGTCGACCTGTGTGCTTCCCTCAGTCACTGCTGGGCCTTCAGGTCCTGTGTACCCCCACCCATACCTCTCTGCACTCTCAGCTCCCAATGCCCCCCCCTACTATCCACCCCACCCTATGTCTCCCCCTACTCACTGCCTCAGTGCCCTCTATGCCCCCACCCCATACTCTAACTTCCCCATGCCCACCTCTGTCCTGCCACCATATTTCCCTCCAGTCCCTGCCCACCCCATCAGCCATCTCTGTGCCCCTTAGGTTTCCTGCCATCTCCCTCCTGCCCCCTGGTGTGCTGGCTTGGCCTGATCAATGCTCCTCTCCCTCAGGCGATGAAGGATGCCCACGTAGACGCTGTGATGATCCTGGGCGAGGCCTTTGCTGCTGATGGCCCCTTTGACTTTGGGGCCCAGAGCACAACACAACGCATCCATGCTCTCCTGCCCATCATGATGCAACACCGTCTGACGCCGCCCCCAGAGGAGACCTACTCCCTGCACCGCAAGATGGCCGGCTCCTTCCTCATCTGTGCCCGGCTTGGTGCCCGCATCCACTGCCGGCCCATCTTCCGCCAGGCCTATGCCCGCTACTGGGGCCGGGAGGGCTGAGACTGCTGAGTGTGGGGAGTGTCCTGGTAGGGTGGGGGCCCAGCAAACATGTCAGGGTGTGGCCTCCACAGGGGGATCCTGAGGAAATAGGGTACCATCGTGGAGAGCGCATGGGAGCCCCTGCACCATTGAATGATTAGCGTTTCAAGGGACCTTTCTGGGCAGGACTCAAGGGATTTTTGAGGGTGACTTCATGGAATGATGGGAATTTTGAGGGCGCCCTCAGGACTGTGACAGCTTCAGGGGGGCTCTCATGGATTAGAGGATTCAAAGGGGCCCTCATAGAAGGGTGGGAGTTTCAAGGGACCCCTAAGGTAGGTCACAGGTGAGTTTCAAAGGAATCTTCATGGGATGAGAGGAGATCCAAGGGACTCTTATCAAGGTGTTTCAAGTGAGTTTTGAGGGAGTCCTTATAGCATTATGAGATTTTTGAAGAAACCCTTAAGAAAGAGAACCTCAAACAGAAGGAACTGGGGGGAGTGATTGGGTGATGGTTATGGACTTGAGGAAAGCTGAGTGGTTCCCTCTTCCTACACTGCTCCTGTCGATGAATTCTACACAGGGGAGCCCAGGGGCTGTCCCCTCCTTTAGATTCCTCTGCCCCCCCTACATCTCTGCACCCAGCTGGGGTCCCCACCCAGAAACTGAACCAGGGCCTGCAACTCCAGAGAATCCTCCACTTCCTGCTGCATCAGAGGAGCGAAGGAGTCAATGTCAAAACCCTCCCATAGCAGGGGAGCGACCCCGTCTGTCTCCCAATCTGCCCAGCCAATGTAGCCCATGTGAACTGGTGTGTGTGCTTGTCTTCCCAGAGGGGCAGCACCACGCATGACAGCCCATGCACACGTCACCCAGGTCCTGAGCCAGACGTTGTAACCCATACACTTTACTGTGTGGATATCGTCCTCCAGGGGCTGTTGGTGCATGTGTGCAGCCCATGCACATTGCTGTGTGGAATAGCTCCCCCTACGGACAGAGTTGGGCACTGCAGCCCTTCTGCATTGCTGCGTGTATGTCTCCCCCTATGTGTAACTCTAAGTAATGTAGCACAGGTGAATTGCAGTCTGGGCGTCTTCCCAAAGAGTCAGCTCTGAGGACTGTAATCCAAATGCAACAACCAACATACCCCCAATAAAAGGAATGAAATGCTGAACTGGGGTGTGTGTGTGGCAAAGCCATTTCAGGGAAGACAAACGTCTGGGACATTACAGTGGTATCTTTTCCCCAGCAGCCCAGTGCAAGAGGCTCACTGAACAGGGTAAGGCAAGTATCTCCCCGCCAAAAGGGGTGGGAACATTAAAATATGTGGGTTAAAGGGTGTACGTGGGCTATCACAGGCCTTTTCTGAGAGCCAAGTCTGGGATATGGTCTGGCAGGCTCATCTGCTCTGCTACCATTTGCAACGTGGGCTGAGCTGAAGATGGAGTGACCCCTGCTGGCCAAAGATGCATAGCAGAAGGGAGTCAATTCTAAGCATAAGGGAGAGGGATCAGACTTGTGCCCCCAAAGTGGGCAGTGGATTTATCTTGAGGGCAAGATGGGTTAGACTGGAGCAGACCTCAAACTGTGGGTCAGGACCCAAAGGGGTTGCAACCCCATTTCCATGGGCCACCAGAGCCAGCATTAGACTTGCTGAGACTTGGAGCTGAAGGCCAAGCTCAGATCCTATCCAGGGCAGGAGGGCTCTGGCTCTGCCCCCTCCCACAGCAGAGGGGGATTGTGGTGCAATGAAATTTGAAAGCTACTGGATTAGGGTCCAGAGCTGAGGGGCTATGTCTGTGCATTGCACTTCTTGGGGTGGGAGTGGGGGGTTTCAGCCCTTTTCAGTTATGCAGCTTTGTTCCTGGTGGCAGGAGTAGAGGAGGGAGCCCTAGGCTATGTCTACACAGCAGCGCTATTTTGGGATAGTGGAGGTATCCAGAAATAGCGATCCTGCATCTTAACAAGCAGCCCGTTATTTCGAAATATAACGGGCTCGCTATTCTGACTTCCCTGTAAACCTCATTCCACGAGGAGTAAGGGATGTTTTGGAATAGCAGGTTATTTCAAAATTTGGCGCTATTATGAAATAAGCTATTTAAAAAATGACTGAAATAAGCTATGCGATTTGCATACCTCAGATTGCTTAGCTTATTTTGAGCTACAGGGGCAGTGTAGATGCACCCCTAGGGTGCAAGGAAGAATGTCCCAATCCCTCCCCTCAGCCACATGGGGGCTCCAAGGGGCAGGGTACGAATCTGCACTTCTGCCATCTGACCACTAAGTGGCGCGCTGCTACTGCTCATCCCTGGAAGGGCTGATTTGCCCAGTGCCAAGATGCAGCTGCCTCTGGGGTGAGATGTGGGGATTGTTTAACAATGCTGCCAAATAGCTTAGCGCAGAAGAATCCTGTAGCTCACTGAAACAGCAGTGGGGATGTAGGGAGGCAGCATGGAGTGTCCCTGAATTAGCATTTCCCCTGGACACATAAGATAACTAATGATAAGAAGTGGCCAGGAGCTGAACTTCACTTTGAGGCAGGGCCTGGGTGGGTCAAAGGACCATAGCTACAGAAGAGGGCTCTGACCTTCAGGGCTCTGGCTGCAATGGGCTCCTGTTTCTAGGAAGCTTGAGGGAGAAACCCTTTGTCTGGCAGAGACAGCCTGGGCCAAGCTGCACCCATTGCAGTGACCTGCACTTAAGAGCAAAGTGCCGAGCAATGAATGTCGCTGAAAGGCAGATTCATGGGAAGCCTGGGCATCTCTGTGGCTGCACATGCACTGCTGTACACTTCCCTCTCCATCCAGCCCCCCGCTTGTCTGTCTATGGGCCTGTAATCACACCAGCCAGCCAGACACAGACCCTCAAGCAGCCATTCCCCCTGGCTCCCTTTGCCTTGGGGCAAGGTCCTTTCCAACACGCCCTGACTCTCAGTGCAGGGCTGAGGTTTGTGGCATAGGCCTGGATTCCTGGAAACCGAATCCCTTAGGGATGGGCTCATCGCACACTTCCCCCGCCCCACACCTTCGTATCTGCAGGAAGTGGGGAGTTTACATGCACGCACGCACACACCCTCTGCACTGCCCTTGGCCCTGACATGCCACCCACACAGACAGCTCTCCCATGTGCCCCCAGACCCACCCTGCAGCACCCTGCCAAGTCACAAATGGCCTAGCTGCCTTCTGGAGATAAGGTGGGGGAAGGATCCCCAGCCTTAGCCTCCCCTCTAGCTGGGGCCCATCCCAAAGAAATAGGGGCCCCCCAACCTCCCCTGTGCAGGGGAGCCAAAAGTCAGTACCCATGTAATGCCCTGCTGCAGGATGGTGTGAGCCTCTCTCTGGGGGCGCGTCCCTCAGTGGGGGGGAAATGTGCACACATCCTGGGCTTGGGGAGGGGCTCTTCAGTCATGATTCAGGGTGGGGGTATTTGGGGACATTAGTCACAGAATAACTTCGAGCCTCCAACCTCTCTAACCACTAGACACCATTCCCACTCCACATTACGGTTACAACCCAAGAGTCCTGACTCCCAGCTTACCTGCTCTAACTCAGCAGACCCCAGAGATGGGGATAGAACCCAGGAGTCCTAGTTCCTTCTGGGGTGTGGCCCCCCACCAGGCACAGGAGTGTTTATCTTTAACCTTTGCCAAGCACTATCTCTGGGCTTAATTGCCCCTCTAAGGGGGGGGAGGCTGAGCTTGCTTCCTTTGCTGGGATCTCTGACCCCGCCCGCAGATAAGGAGAAGGGAATGTGGAAAGAGGGTTTACAGGAATGGGGATAACGATTAATCCTTGGAACCCTGCAGGGGTCAAAGCCAAGAAGGAGGGCGGGGCAGGCAGATTAGAGCTGGGGTCTCAGGGCTCCATCCTGAGCTCTGGGAGGGAAGAAGGGTCAAGGGGATTAAAGTGACGGGGGCTGGAAGTCAGGATGCCTGGGCTCCCAACTCTGGGAGGAGAAGGGAACGAGTCTACTGGGGTGGGATTCAAGATGCCTGGGTTCTTGCTCCAAACTCTAGGAGGGGAGTGGGGACTAGAACCAGGCAGGCCAGGACTGAGCTGATTTATTGACACACAACCACTAGACCGGGTCCTTCCAGGGCAGGCCAAAGCCTTTGACTCCTCCAGAGGGGCTGTGGGGCAGGGCGGGGGTTGTGGTTGGCTGTACTTTGAATCCCGAGGTGCTTATCAAATATTTACAGCCAGGCTAATCATTAACCTGCTGGTGCTTTATGGGCCTGGCCTCCTGGAGAAAAGATAGCCCGGCCCCGCCCGGTCCCATCAGTCCCTTCAGCACACTGCAGGGGAGGCAGACGCAGGGACAGACAGACGGTAGGGAGATGCCAAGGTAAGACCCTTTCCAAGTTTCGTTGGCTTTTTCTTTCTTTCTTGCAATCCACCTAATACCCCCATTTCTCTGAACTCTGCTGTTGATCTTTTAACCCTTTCTCCTCCAGGCAGCCCATCTGCCATGTCTTTCCTCCCCCCCCTCTTTTGGAGGGACTCAATGGCAATCTCTGTGGCACCCTGACGGTATCCCAGAGTGCTTCACCTCTCACAGTGATGCAGGCACTCATGGTGAGGTGCAGGGGCTGTTTAGTAGGGAGCCCCTTACCCAGCAGTGGGATGCAGAGGTTGCTTATACAAGGGTCTCTTGTATGAGATGCAGCCACTTCTTGGGTGGGACACAGCTGCTATTTAATAGCACACAGCCACACACAACAGTTTGGGATGGGCAGTGGAAGGGGAGTGTGGTCTCTCCTTGACATGGCCTGCGGGATAGCAGAAACTGAGCTGGGATGTGTCCAGCACAAAGTCCTAATGCAAAGTAGCTCGGGATCTGCAATAGACAGGGCAGCGCCCTATGCCAGCGTCAGGACTCTCCTAGGTGTCTGAACAGGAAGTAGATATGGCTTTTCAGTCTGCCATTCGGTGAACCCCTGGGCTCTGTCCCTGAATCTGAGAAAAGAGGGATGTAGGGGCTGTTGGGCATCAGGACTTCTATCCCTAGTTCTGGGAGGGCACTGGGGGGGTCTAGTGGTTAGATCAGGCAGGCAGGGAGTCAAGACTTCTTGAGTCTCTCCCTAGTTCTGGGGTTTAGTGGTTAGAAAAGAGGGGAAGTCCGGATTCGTGGGCTCAATCCCCAGATCAAGGAGGGGAATTTAATGGTTTGGGCAGGTGGGAGGGGGGTAAATGTCAGGAATCCTGGGTTTTGCTGCCCCCTCTCTGCAAATATCCATGTGAATGAATTTGCCTTCCCAGAATCTCTCTGTATTTCTTGCTCCATTTCCGTACCTGCTGGCCCTTGTTCTTGTGTATCACTGTGTCCCCTCCCTGGTACTGTGCCCTGCCTCGACATTTGCCCCAAGGTGCAGGATCCAGACACAGTTTATGAAGGAGAAAAGTCTGGATTATTTCTTTGTGCCTTTCCTCACTTGTGACCCTGGAGTTATTGGTTCATGGAGGAATAAGGCTAAACCACCCATCCACGGGGAGCTCCTCCCTTGAGATTAACTGCATGGTTGTCCCTGGGGCAGTGTAGGGACCAGTATAAATTAACCCCCAGAAGCAGATCACTGGGCTCAGGGTGGCCTCAGAGCCAGCAGCCGGGACCCTGGTCATGCAGGCTGGTAGCTGGAACCCCATAGCACAGGGTAATAGCAGAGCCCCCACAGCACCTAGTCCCCATGCCTATGTCTTCTGGGACCATCCACACCGGCCAATCACTCTGGCCTGCAGGGCCCCCCAAAATGCAGGGCATGGAGCAGTCACCCTGATTCACCCGTACCCACGGGATGGCTCTGCCACTCCATACGGCACAGCACCCCACAGGCACCGCCCTGGGACACTGACTTTGAGGGAGAGCGCCCCCTATTGAGCCACCATCCTCCTTGCAGCAGTGGGAGTGTTTTCTTTCTCAGCCCCTGCTGAGATCTTATTAGGTCGTTGGGGTCGGGCACAATTAATCAGACCTTAAATCTTTTCCAGAGCCCTACCCCAGGACATTTCCTTGGAACCCTGAACCTTTAGGCATCAAGCCCATAATCTGCCAGAGACCTTGGGTCCCACAGGATCAGAGTCCTTTTATTACATCTCCTTATCAAGGGGCCTTTAACAGCACTTGGCATCCCAGATGCCAACGGGCGAAGTTCAGCTCCCGGCCTGGGTGCTG